ATTTTTAGAAAAATAAAATTAACAAAAACTATAAGGAATATACAAAACCACTAGAAAATACATCCCAAAGCTCTAAATAAAGAGGAAAAAGACTACAAGAAACATCTAGTTTCTTAAAAGCCTTGAGTTAAAAAAACAGAAGCAGCAAAAAAATAGAAAAAGTCATAAAAAATCATTAATATTTTTTTGCTTTTTGCAAAATTTTGGGAAATTAGCCTTGACCCTGAATTGCAGATCTGTTTTGGTAACACAAGAATTACAATACATAATAAAGAATAAATAAAGAAAATATGACCCAAACCACGTGATGAAAGTAAACAAAAATAGTAAACAATCGCAACAAACAATAACAATAGCAATAGCTAACAACAACAATAGAAAAACAACAAGTCACATAAAGCAAAATATAACAGAAGGTTCTGGAAAAAGCCTATATTAAGAAAAGTAGTTACAAGAATTATCCAGAATATATTAACACAAATAACTGATAAGAAAATAAATTTTTGAGTAAATAGAAGAATAGCAAATCTTGCAGAGAAGAAACTCATCATAAAAGAAGAAATTATAGTGCAATTAATAGATCTTTATAATAAACTATTATGATATAACAAAGAAGAATTAGAATATACAAAATGTGAACTTGCAAAAAGAAATTATTTTGGCTTTATCAAACAATACAAGAAGAAGAAGACCCACTCAATTTTATTATACATGAAGAGGTATGCAACACAATATTAAAACTAAGAATAGCCAACAAAATAAGAAGTTTACTAGAAGACAGTAGAAAACAAAATGCTAAAATAAAGACAAAACTAGAAATAGAATAAAGCAAAAGACTTCAAGAACAAAGGAATAGCTGACAAAAACAATACAACAAAACAGTTCTAGAGTTTATAATACTTTAACTTAAAGAATCTAACAAGACTACTTCAGCAAACCAACAAGAAAAGAAAAGAAAAGCCAAAGAAGCAAAAAAAAAATTGCAAACTCGTCTAAAGGAGAAACAAGCTGCTAAGATTAAATTGAAATTAGAAGTAGATTAGAGCAATAAACTTCAAGAACAAAAAAAAACTTGGACAAAGGTAGCAAAACAAATTAGTACTAAGAACTCTGATAACATACTTTAAAGTTTTTGTTGAATTTGAACTTGTCACAGCAAACCAAAAGAGAAAAAAAAGAAAAGTCAAAAAAGAAGAGAAAAGAAAAGAAGAAGAAAAAATTAAAAGTAGAAAACAAAATATTGAAGGCATTACAGAAACAGAAACCTAAAACAAGATCCAAGAGGAATCAAGACCACAAGTCAAATTTGCAATTTCAACTGAATGGTTGACAGAAGTAATATATCAAATAAGTATTAAAGACTTACAAATCAACAAAAAAATATTAAAGAAGAAAAAGGAAGAGCTGTTTGTAGAATAGGTATAATGTCTAAAGGCCCAAGCGATCATTAACAAGATTCTACCTCAAGACATATTGGCATGTAGATTGTCGAAAGCCAAAAATTGGAAAAAAAGAAAAAGACATGTTATTAGAAATATTAGAAAAGATTTTTGTAAAAAGTTATGAAATTTGAAGAGTGCTAATAATTAATTTAGCAAAAGAATTATTAACATTAAAATTATGGTTGTATTCGGCTAATTAAATATTAGTTCTCTTTGAATTGCGTGTCTTAAAATAATGCCATGGGTGTTATTTCGCGCAAATTCAATAAGGGTTGAAAATTTTTACCACACTAATTTCCTTTTCTTTTTTTTTTTGAATTCTGTTATGCGTTGATTTTATAATCTGGTTGGACAGTAATAGTAGGTTGTCAAATTTTACGCAATAGCCTTATATTTCGACAGTAGTGTGGTTTTAGAACCCTATCAGGACACGTGAATCGATTTTTTGTTCATCCCATCAGGAACAGTATCAACGATCCATCAGGAACGGTATCTTTGCATAACAGAAATATTTGAATAAAATTTTTTATAATAGTTTACATTAATAATTTAATAACAATAATCTGCATTTTGAATAGATTAAATAGAACACACAAAATTATACTGATTGAAATTTATATATCTAATACAAGAAAAAAATATGGATTATATATATTACAGTATTACAGAAAATATACATAACTCTTGTTAATATCAACCTATATTTATCAACCAAAGCCACAAGACAAATTTTTATAAATTTTATTTTGATATATCAAAATTCCCTCATATATATCAACTTTTACTATGATCCTTTACTAATATCACTATCAACATGAATATGAGAGTAATCCAAATTAGCGAGGGTCAAGTGTAATAATAGTGTTATTAAAATAATTAGTCCATACAAATTTAATTAATTGTTTCTCATAATCCGGCCGGGTCAAATTTTGAAGAAAAATTTTTTGTTTTACAGCTGTTTTCATAAATTCTGGGACAACTGATAAAAATCTGATCGGCCGAATTCGATAAGGTTGGTAATCCGATAACACCGAATTCAAAAACTTATTGAATTTAGTCGATTAATTTTATCAGTTGTCCCATAATTTATAGTCGGGTGGGTTTCAAAAATTTTTTTAAAAATTTTCACTTTGTAATAACTGCTTTTTTTTTTAACTTTCGATAAGAGACTTGCACGTAGGGTTGTGTTACATAAATTACAATTTTACATTTTCATGTAATTTTGTGAAATTTTGCGAGTTTCAAACCTTTTTACTAATAAAATTGTAACCGTTTTATAAAAACCTACACAAAATTACGCAAAATTACGTAAAATTACGGTAATTTAACAACCCTACTTGCACGTGTAACCATGAACGACATTAGTTTGAGTTAGCATTTTGACCCGAACAAATACTTTTGATTCGAGTTAACTCGAGTTAGTATTTAACCCGAGTCAATATTCAAGTCATAAAATTCTAACTCGAATTACCTGAATTAACTCGAATCCAAGCTCTAACTGTAGCTGATCACCTAGTTGATAATTTTGATTATCGTTTTTTATTGATATTTGTGTCATGAATACAATTTTTTTTAAAAGCGTCAAAATTTGGGATTATATAATCAAATATGATACTAATTGGTTCCTTTTTTATATAGAGTTATATCCTAACTTTATTTATATCTCCAAAAAAAATAAAAAAAAAACATACAGAGAACAAAAGGGTATAAACGCAAAATTTTTGAAACAAATTTGTAAGATTTTTTTAAAGTTATTTGTCCCTGAGTTATAAGTATTTTTATATTTTATATATAAAAAGTGAACATTTTTGCTGTACTATAGAAAGTTTTTTCTTTCTTTGAATATTTTAAAAAAGAAAATTTTCGTAAAAAAACAAATGTCAACTGAAGAAAAACGCGAAAATGATTCATATATGTCAGAAGATACAAATTATAAGACACTAAAAAGAAGAATTGTTAGCAAATGTGATCTTTACTTGCTACGTATGTTACAAATATATTTCAATCTTTATATAAATAATTTCCTTTTTCAATGTATATACGTCGACTTGTATTTTCTTATAAAAATTTTTGAAATTAATTTCTTAATTAGCAATAATGATCATAATAAACCTGTTGGGTATCATCGATCTAAATAACATAGGAAATGCTACTGTAGCAGGATACAATTACATTTACTTTAAGACCACACCTTATTATTTTACTTTAGCCATATCAGCCCATTTTCTTAGTTATATCATATTCCAAGTCCCTTCATGCTTGGTAACAAATATTTTAGGGATACATGTTTGGTTGCCAATCTTAATGGTGTGTTGGGCAGCAACATCTATGAGTCAAGCTGCATGTACAACTGTGATTCAGTTGGGCATTGTTAGATTTCTTCTAGGTTAATATCATATTATTCATTCATAAGATTAGGTGTAACGTGAAATAAAAGTAATAATTGCAATGCTTTAGTTTAGAGTAAGAGTTAGCATAAGGTTAAAGTCCTGATTGTTTCGATTTCACGTTATACTTGCTTTTTGATTTGTCGATCAGGGAATATCTAACATTTTCGCTTATGGGCAATTAATTTATTAATACAGGAATGTTTGAGGCAGCATTTCCTCCATCTATAATAGGATATATTAGTTTATTTTATTCCAAAAAAGAATTAACTTTAAGGTATTCTCTCTTTATGGTTATAACCACCATTAGTGGTGCTCTTAGTGGGTTCGCTGTAAGTTTTTTAAGTTCTGACACAATTGACAACGCATTAGATAATTTTACTAATACTTTATGACGTTTATTAACTTGTTTAGTCGTATTTCATAGTCCAAATATCTGGATCTCCATTAAGTGGTTTCCAATGGTTATTTATAATTGAAAACATCCCAACTTTTTTTATGGCCTTAGTTGCTGCCGTATTTTTGACTCGTGGTCCCGGAAATGCCCGTTTCTTTACACCTGAGGAACGTGAGTTCGCAGTTGAGCGACTAAAGTCAGAGGGTGGTCCAACTAAAATAATTGATCGTAACCTTGCCAAAGCCCAAATAAAACTTGCGTTTACCGATATCCAAACCTACATTTACTTAATATTAGTTTTAATTAGCGCAATTCCATCCTTTGCTCTTAATTTCTACCTTCCAACTTTAGTTAACCAACTTGGTTTTAATAATGTACAAGCTCAATTAATGGTCATACCACCACTTCTTGTTTCAACAGTAATTACGACTATTAATGCTTGGTATTCTGATAAGTATCAGACAAGAGCCCGGAACATGTTAGCTGGGTATTCTTTTTCTATCATTGGATTAGTGGGAATGATAGCAACGCACGCCGATGATCCTAGTTTATACAAATTAAGATATTTTTTTACCATTCTTTTAGCATGTGGGGCATACAGTGTGTTGCCAATACTGTTTAGTTGGTGCACATGTAACAATGGTTAGTGTCTTTTTTTTTCAATATATGTTATTAATATTGTTTCGTAATTTTATTAATCTTAAAAATTAAAAAAGTCGGTGAATATAAGCGCAGCACGGCCCTCGGAATAATATTCACTTCTGCTCAGATTGGAGGTATTATCGGGATTCTAATTTTCCCAGCTACTGATGCACCATCATTCCTTATGGGAAACGCCGTATGTTTAGCTTCAGTGCTCTTTGGAACTATTTTAGTTATTGGATTAAAATTTTATCTGGAATTATTAAATAAGAAACGTGATTTGGCTATAATAGCCAATCATAACTATAAGTTAAGTGATAACGATCTGAAGCATAATAAAAGGGTTAGAGACATTGCTATGAAGTTGGTAGAAAATGAGCCAAAGTTTGATGAAGTTTTGTGTGATAAGCATCTTAATTGGAGATATACTACTTAACGTTAAGGGCATTGGTTATTAAACATATGTACTATATATATATATATATATGCGAAATATATATTTATTTTTTTTTTATTTTAAATAAAATTAAATAGGAAATGATTGGCTGAGTTGGGGAGAGCGAAAGCCTTCAAAGTCTTATTTTACGAAATTTTCCAAAACGTCCAGTTCCCGATTTAATTGGTACGGATTTAGGTTCAGCATCCAGAAACTAGGGATGTTATCGGCTCGTTCGGCTCTATTCATTAATTGGTTTTTATACGTAATATATAGTCAAATATACAAGCCGATGACAACCTTACTAGAAATTAAACCTAAATTAAGTTCAATGTTTGTTAGGCTAACTATATATATAGTTATATATATATATATATAGTTTAATATTTATCCGTATTTTATCATGAATAAGCACTGCTCCCTCAGCCACACTTTTTAAAATTCAGATTATCAAAAATAAATTTGGCGAAAGGTTTTGTTTAAGATAATTTCCGCTAATCTGAAGTTAAAAAAAAGTGGGGTTGAGTGAGCAGTACCCGTGGGCAGCGTTGTCACGTCTACTATGTCCAAGACTTTTTTTGCCCATGTCCACGTCCAAACGTTCACAGTGTCCACAATTGTCCAAAGAATATTTACGCTTTAAATTTAATAAATTAGTTTAAAAAGATATGATTATATATTTTTTTATAGTTCTGAATAATAAAATTTTGAGTAATTTAGATTTGTTGTTTTGTCCAAAATTGTCCACAATTGCCCACAATTTGTCCAGAGCTGTCTCGTGACAACTCTGCCCGTGGTACTAGGAAAGAATACTGGCTAGTTAAATAATAAATATCGCGGCTGAAGCTCGAAATTTTATGAAATTTTCAAAAATTTTGGGGTGTACTTTTTTTAGCTTTTTTTTGATGGTTAATAATAAAAATGTGTAACGATAAGATTTATATATCTTTAAACCGAGGCCCATAATTTCCGTTCCCAGCTTCGGCCGCGACAATAAATAATGATGTGTATTGCCAATTTAGAACTGCATTCCCATTCACAAACATAATTTTACGTATTCAGAGTAATTTCTATTTACACCATAAATAACCATTATTAAATACGTATAAGTAATGTCACGAATGATACGTACAGATAACGATACGAATAAGAAATATCATATGAATAAATAAATACCAAAACATCACAAATGGGAAATAAAAAATTGCTATATTAGTGTTCAGCTAAAATGTTATCGAGACAATTATACAAGAATACGATAACAAAAATTAATTTTTTGATTCACTTAAGAATTGCGATCTTTATTTTGTTACACAATCATTAACTCATTAAATCCTTAAACTTGAACTAGTAATATCTAAAGTAACTAGTTACTCCAAAATGGTATAAATTAGATCTCTTCTGGGATAAAGTTGTTGAAGCTGGTAAAAAATGATATTGCAAGTATTGTTCAACATTTTATTTATTGGATACAAATTTTTCTATGATCAAGTTGTATTCAATATGCGAGAACCGAATTATTGTCAATAAAATTTATTCTTTGAGCAGTACTATTAACTTTCCTGAATGAGAATCAAATTTTGACAATGTGCATTAAATAACAGTAAGAAAAATTGTAAGTTCGCTCTATTTTATTTAATAAACTATTTAATACAAATAATTTATATTAATAACAAGCTGAATAAATTATAAAGTATTGTCTTTCGATTGTCGGTTTTGGGGAATTAACATTCACTTAAAGGTAGAAATAGCCTTAAATTACGTATGCTCGATTCGAATCAGCCAATTATTATAATTATCCATATTAATACATGTGATAAGTAGGGATCGCCTAAAATTTTTCTTAATCGTTTAATTGTTTAACCGTTTAATTCGGCCGGCATTAAAATAATTCCAACTCACAACCAACATAATTCTGCCTGGAACTATGGTGCAATTTTTAAACGGTTAAACGGTTCCAATCTCTAGTAATAAGTGGCATCAGTGATTTCATCCAATCGATAAGATTTGTCTGCGGCCAATGAAAGGTGGGTGAAAATTAGTAAATATGAAAAATACAATCAATGACAACAAAAATAATCAATCGAATTCTGCTTATAGAAAGGGTATACTGATAATTTGTTTATACAGATAGATTGAAATTTGTTAGTGGAAAAGATTGATACTTTCTTTGAATACTATAATACATATGGATATAAATTTGATATCAACTCAAGGGAGAACATATTTATGTTAAAATAGAAAAAACAGAACATGTATTTGTTGTTGCATGGTTTTAAAAATATTTTGATATTTCCAACAGAGGTGTTGCTAATAATTCTCCAATAGATATTGTGAGTACTTCAGATAAGAAAATTTATCTGAATTAGCTTAAGCTTGTTATTAGTTTTATAATCTTCTCAAGTTCTATAATAGCTTACTATCAACTAAGTGAAAGAGAAAAATTATTATCACCTGATATTGTTATGTACTCAAGTTTGAATATTATTTCAAAACCTCTAATTTTATTATTATCTTTACAATATAGATTAAAATTTATTTATAGAACCTCTTTTAAAACTTCCTGATATCATAAGATTCCTTTAGTTAACAAATTGGTTAGTATATCAGATTTGTTCTTAATTTTTTTTAGTCTTATTATAAATTAATTATATAAAAAAAACTCATATATAAATAATATATGAAATTGCAATATCTCAAAGATATAGAGATTGAAATGCAAAATATAATCATTAAATACAACAGCAATATATAAAATGCATATCTGAAATTAAAATTTACAATTCAAAAATTAGTTGATCTTTAGTATAGATAGGCATATATAATTATTATACAATTATAATATATATAAATTAACTATTTTGAACTAATTTAAATAATTTTATAAATTATTATGGTTAGGGTTAAAGTTAAACTTAAATTGGCTCAAATTAGTTAGATTTTATATATTATAATCATGTAATAATTTATATATGCCTACCTATACTAAAGAAGATCTCAAAAATTATATGAAATACAAATAGATAGTTAGATTAGTATATAATTGTATATGTTGTACATCAAATTAAAATTTGTATCAGATTAAAATCATTATAATTTTGCTAATACCTAATATAGATATCTACCCTTACTCTAAAAAATTTCATATTTAAATTTTAATCTGATATAAATTTTAATCTAATGTATAATATATATATTACACAATATATTTATTATTTGAAAATTTAAAATTTTTTTATTTTTGATCTTAGGCCAGACTCTAAATATATTAGACAATACTAATATCAAGAAGACATATAGCAGTAACAGAACAACTAAGAGTATATTACAGTATGAAGAAGTAAAATTAGCATTTTAATAATTAATTTAAATAGTAAATATCTAATTTATAATATAAACTAACTAAAGTTTTTATAGTAAAACTTTGGTACTTTTAATTATTACTATATACTAGTATTCTTATTGCTTGCACAAGACTAGATCTTGCTAATAATCAAGCTATTATCCTAATACAAGAAGTATTTTGAAAACTATTTATTATTAGAAAAGCTTTTTCTATAGTTAGGTATGTTGTTATAGTTTCTGATAGTATTACTGCTTTTAATTTTATTATAAATTTGTATTAAATTTAACAGATAGTTTTATAAAATTAGAATAATTAAAAAATATATACAATAAATATTAACTAATAAATAATAATTAAAAAAAATTAATATTAAATATATTCATATTTTGTAATATAATATATCTAAAAAACTTTATTATAGTTTTTTTGTTTTTTTTTTTTTTTTTTTTTTTTACGTTTACCCTCTTGGGGGCTGGGTTTTTTATTCAGGTATATATATAGCGAAGTTCTCTTGGGCTCC